TTTCGTTTAGTTCATTTTTTTCTTGAGATATAAATTTGGTGTGAAATCACAATTTTGGCGTTAGTGATACCATTTTATTTAATTTTGCATTATAACAAATCAATATACCGAAATATCCGTTATACCAAATATTTCGTTAGAATGCTCCCGAATTTTTCCATAACGAAGGTCTGATTTGTTTGGGCGCCGAATTTGTTATAAAGCAAGCTGACTGTATAGAACTCAAATACTTTGTTTATTTAAAAGCATCTATAAAAAAGTAAAGATCAAATAAGATCAAAAAACAAAGATCATTATAAACAATATCCAGCCAATGTACATGTACTAGCTTGACACAATTTATTGTAAAGGAAAAATATCCGAACCAATACGTAATAAAGACGAAATAATTGATTGATGCTGATGATATTCATCAATCTAACCGTATCGAGATATCTGCGTAGATAATGCAAAATTAAATAAAATGGTATCACTAACGCTAATGAGATTACGCTTTAATGTGCATGCTGCACTGCATAAAAAAATTCTATAAAGAATGTACTGGAACTTTTTTTATTTTTTGGAGCAAATAAAACATATACGTAGTAGTAAAATATGTATTCATTACCGACAGAAATACTTCAACAAGTATTCGCAGAAACTTTATACACTGAAAAAACATATACAACCCGAGAACTTTATTCCTGCATTCTAGTGAATCGTCAATGGTGTATGACTGGGATTCCTATTTTATGGAGTCACCCATTCCATCCGGATAGTCGTATTTTACAACAAGCGAAATTAGTAGACATTTATTTATCGTTTTTCATGACTCGAAATTGTCCCGAAGAAATTGCTTCTCAGCCTTTATTCAAGGAACAACAACAAAATCAGTTGTACCATAAAATTAAATCTATAGAGAATACCAATGATTCAGTTTTCGTATACCCATATTTCGCGAACACTATTGATTTTAATCGCATGATAAAGACGGTACAACTTTGGTGTATTTTGAATAGAATAACCGACGAGATCTTTTGGGATATTATTGCGGGAATTTTAATTATTATGCAATCAAACGCGGCGATAGTGGATCGTATTACTTGGCCTATTGAGGCATACGAGGGAGTTAAATTATTAAAGATTTTGAAGAGGTATCCAGAGATAGCGGCTTGGCTGTCTCACGTTTCTTCTATTCGTCTGATGCTGGGTAACTTCTTTGGGTCATTCATGGACAGCCAAACGGAACATCTTAATGTTGCAGAATTGCCTCAAACTCTGGTGAATTGATGATAGCTAACTTTTATTTGAAAATAAATTTTTCTATCCTAAAATGACGTTTATTTTTGCTGTTATTACTAGAAACAACTAGAAATCGACGTAACAAAAATAAACCATTTTAAACGACACGAACAACTGACCACATTTCTCGAAATAACCAAAAAATTCGAGTGCCTAAAATACATCAAAATTACCGGCCCATTCCATGAAATCGAGTTGCTCGTTGACGCATTACGTCCAAGCGCTGCAACATTACTTGATATCTCATTCACAAAGTTAAACTGTAGTCACTATATTGGATTATACGATCTTTTAGAGTTTCCAAATATTTTAGAATTGTCTGTTTGCGGATGGACGGAATCTCCGAATAATTTCTTGTCGTTTTTAAGCGAGGTTAAAGATAGAAATTGGGTAATCACTCCGAAATATTTTTCAATTCGTGAAAAATTGAATAATGATGAATTACATTTCGATTTTCGATTTGAAAAAAATTCAGGTGTTTTGTAATTTGAAGAATCGATATATGCGAATGAGACTTATTGGAACAATTTTCACTTTTACTTTCATATTAAAAGTTTGTTGCCTATTTAATGTATTAAGCGAGTTTTTATCTTAGATGTGATATGAGTTTCAATTGTTTAAAATTGAACAAAATGATATGAATTAACAAATAATTGAATTCGTTTTTCATTAGTTTAAATGTTAAAATTCAACACACATTTGGTGAGAATTAAGATGAATCAAAATGTGTTCCTCGAAAAACAGCACGTTGTCTAGTCTAACATATATGTTGAAATACCATATTATTTATAGTTTAAATAAATTTCTTGCAAGAAGTGCAGAATATCCAGTAGCCATATGTTAAAGATGTAGAATAGACTCCTTGTTGCGTCAAGCTATTGATACCTAAAGCATGAAATGATGCAATTTGTCTAGATGATTTGGGCGAACACTTTATTGTAGAAAATAAAAAGCAAAATTTTCATTTTGCAATGTCAAATGTCTACATTGTACTTACTATTTAGGTTTTAATCGAAATATGTCTTTATTAACTAGGGAGCTCCAAATACGTATCAGATGATTTTTATTTGTTAGACACCCTGCCCATCCCCACCTGATCAAGATGAATCATAACCTGATAAACGACAACAACTCCTAAAGGATCACCTAATATTTGGTGCTCCCCTTAGTATGTATTATCTTAATAAAAAAAATTGTAACAATATAGTTCATCATTGTCATAGACTGTTGCAAAATTCAGTTATTTGATACAAATGAATTTCAGCAAACATAAACCCAAGTCGTAACAAAATTATTTCATCACGTTTTCTGTAAGGGAACTAAATTTCGGGGTACTGATCACAGGTTCTTACAACTAAATATTAATATATTATTCGTTTAATACTTCCTCATAGATATTGTATCCGCCGTCAGAATCCCCATCAAATTGTAACTCCTGTATTTTCTTTTGGTGGTCCTAAGAAAGTTGAAGATTTTCTAAAATAATTTAGCGACATTTGAGAGTTCAATAGTCAGAGTTTCGGAAGGGATTGTCATGGTCTTAACTACTTTCTGGGTGTCCTCGTACTATTTCCGACTAAAGCTCTGTTCGGGTCGGTCTGGTCGGATTTGAGGTCAACCCGAACCGATAATTTCGGGTCGGGTCGGATTCGGATCGGGTTTGATCCGAAAATCGTA